TTCATATTAACAGTTTCTAGTTCCATCCATTTACCTGCAAATTTCATGATTCCATCTTTCTTTACTGCTGAGTAAAACTCCATCGTATAAATGAACCACATTTTCATTATCCACTTGTCAATTAAGGGACACTTAGGTTGCTTCCATCTCTTAGCTATTGTGAAAAGAGCAGCAACAAACATGTATGTACAAGTGTCTCTGCAATAGGATAAGTTCTTTGGGGATATGCCAAGGAGCGATATAATTGGGTCAAATGGTAAGTTCATTTGTAATTTTTTAAGAGTTCTCCACACTGCTTTCCATAGGGGTTGAACAAGTTTGCAGCCCCACCAGCAGTGGATGAGGGTTCCCCTTTCCCCACATCCTCTCCAACATTTGGTATCATTTGATGTCTTGATCTTAGCCAGTCTGACTGGGGTAAGAAGAAATCTTAAAGTGGTTTTAATTTGCATTTCCCTAATTATTAGTAATATTGAACACCTTTTAAGATGCTTCATAGCCATCTTTACTTCTACTGAGAACTCTCTGTTCAGCTCCTTAGCCCATCTTTTATTGGGTTACTTCTTGTCTTGATATTCTGTTTTTTGAGTTCGTTATATATTCTGGATGTTAAACCTTCTGTCAGATGTGTCACTGGTGAATATTTTCTCCCACTCTGGGTTTTCTCTTCATTTCCCTGGTTGCCTCCTTTGATGTACAGAAACTTTTTAGTTTAATGAGGTCCCATTTGTTAATTCTTGCCCTCGTTTCCTGAGCAATTGATGTCTGGTTTAGAAAAACCTTTCCTACATCTATATCTTGTAGGTTTTTCCCCAATGTTCTCTTCTAATGGTTTCAGAGTTTCAGGCTTTACATCGAGGTCTTTGATGCATTTGGAATTGACTTTTGTGCAAGGTGAAAGATAGGGGTTTAATTTCATTCTTCTACAGGTAGAGATCCAGTTTTGCCGGCACCATTTGCTGAACATGCTATCTTTCCTCCCGTGAATATTCTTGGCCCCTTTGTCAAATATCAGGTGGCTGAAATAGCATGTACTCATATTTGAGTCTTCAATTTTGTTCCATTGATCTATGGGTTTGTTTTTGTGCCAGTAACATGTTGGTTTTATGACTATAGCTCTGTAATGCAGCTTAAAATCTGGCATAGTAATCCCCCAGCATTGCTCTTAGTGCTTCAGGGTTGTTTTGGCTATCAGAGGTCTTTTGTGCTTCCATATGAATCTTAGGATGTTTTTTTCCAATTCTGTGAAAAATGTCATGGGGATTTTGATCGACATTGCATTGAATCTATAAATGGCTTTTGGTAGGATGGTCATTTTCACAATATTAATTCTTCCAATCCATGAGCATGGGAGGTCCTTCTATCTTCTGATGTCTTCCTCAACCTCCTTCTTTAAGGATTTAAAATTTTCATTGTAGAGGTCTTTAATGTCTTTGGTCAGGTTTATTCAAAGATATTTTAATTTTTTTGCAGCTCTTGTGAAAGGGAGTGTTTCCATGTGTTCTTTCTCTGATTGCTTATTATTGGTATATAGAAAGGCTACAGACTTTTGTAGATTAATTTTGCAACCTGCCACTTTACTGAACATATTAATAATTTCTAGGAGTTTTCTGTTGGAATTTTCCATGTCTCCTTACATACAATATCATATCA